CTTAGGTCAGAACTGATATTTAATAGTCATCAAAACAGAACCTTATTATAAGCCGGGTGCTACCTGTACTTGTGCCCAAATCTCATAAGGGCTCAAGCCAATGGTCACAAGGGTCTACCATATATAAGCAATTATACCAGGTGCTGAAAAGCCGATTAAGGCAGCATTTCTGTCCTAAACAAGCTCACAACCCGGTTAGGAAGGGATACAATGCTCATAGGGAAGAAAGCAATGTAGGAGGGAGAAACTTGATTTTCACCTAGCAAGATCACAGCACGTTTCTAAAAGAGCTAAGCAGAGTCGTAATGGTTAACTCCTATTGAACCCTCCCTGTTTCAACAATTTCCCAGTCTGTTTAACTTGCCTTTAACAACGCAAATCCTATTTACCACAAAGCTGCACAGAGCAAATTCGTCTCTTCTACCGGATTTTACATTGGTCTCTCATAAAACTGATGCCCTGCTTGAAGCTATCTACCTTCCAACCCCTCTGTCCTAAGTGGACACCACTGTCTTTGTAGAATACTTGATATAAAAAGATTTCCAGGCTAAGTTATACTTGGCAAAGAACAAATACAATGGCAAAAACAGGTAGTAAAACCTTACAAAGTGTTTTTTCTTCTTCTAAGAACATCTTTTAGCTTTTTCTTATTTTTAAGAAAGTCATAGCAATGTAAAGAAAATTTCCTTTATTAGTTTATTAGTTTTGAACTTGCAATCTTTCTTAGAAATTTAACACAAAAACATCAATTTCATCCTTCTAAGATCTGCCTGCTCAATTTATATTAAGATAGATTACAGGTACATTATAGGTAATCGAAATGTCTAGTAAGAGTTCTTTCACAACAAAAGGGAAGCTGATGCCTAAGAAACAGAAAGAACATGGGCTTGAGAGACAGACAAACATCCAAAAACCCAGCTCACACTTCCTCTGAGAAGCACTGTCTGAGGCAAACCATTCCACTACCAGTGTCACCCTCTGGAAGATATTTCAGGGCAACTAAACACTAGACTTTTTAAAAGGTAAATGCATTTTAAAATTATTTAATCTGGTTCTTTCTACACAGTGCTACCAGATGAATGATGCAACAATAATGAGTGGGAAGGAACCAACACGAATTGCAACCTAGAAAACAAAATATATGCTCTACACTTATCCTGGCATGTTTTAAAGTAAACAATGGGGAAACAAACATACTTCCAGGCAGTAACAATAGCATTTGCCCTTCATAAAATAGCAAGGAACAGCTGCTATGGATTAGTGTTAATTCAACACATATTCACCTCCACAAAACAGATGGAACTTTAACAATGATGGGCCACAAAGGCATTAACTAGGTTCAAAGTAAAGTTAGTTAAAAAAATTAGCATGAGACATGAAATCCAAAGTATTCAAGAGGCTAAATCATTCGAGTATCTGTAGAGTTTTAATGTTGCAATAACCCAAATTCTTAAAATTATTATGAAAATAAAGAAACATGAAATTCAGGTTCACAAGTCAACCTGTCATGTCAGGT